TAGCAGTGGTGACATAGTGAGACTCTGTCTCAAAAAAAAAGAATGAATGCATTCTTAATCCTAACATCAATAAATGAAATGACTCGGTAATGGTATTCAACAGTTATAATGTGAGCCACATATGTAATTAATATTTTCTTGAAGCCACATTAAATAATTTTTGTTTTTTAGACAGAGTCTCACTGTCACCCTGGGTAGAGCACCGTGGTGTCATAGCTCACAACAGCCTCAAACTCTTGGGCTCAAATCTATCCTTTTTGCCTCAACCTCCTGAGTAGCTGGAACTACAAGTGCTTGCCACAATGCCCAGCTATTTTTAAGAGATGGGATCTTACTCTTGCTCAGGCCAGTCTTGAACTACTGAGTTTAAGCAATCTACCTGCTTCAGCCTCTCAGATTGCTGGGATTACTGGTTTGAGCTACCTCTTTTATTTTTATTCATTTATTTATTTATTTATTTTGGCAGAGTCTTACCCTGTACCCTGGATAGAGTACTGTTTAATAATAGCTCATAGCAACCTCAAGTTCTTGGGCTCAAATGATCCCCTTGCCTCAGCCTCTCGAGCAGCTGGAACTTTAGGCATTCACCACAACGCCTATCTAGTTTCTCTGTTTTTAGTAGAGATGGGGGTCTCACTTTTGCTTAGGCTGGTCTGGAACTCTTGAGCTCAGGCCATTCACTGGTTTTGCCCTCCTGGAATATTGGGATTACAGGTGTGATCCACATCGCTCACTCACATATTGAATTATGTTTAAATATTCAGTCACAGTGCCTCATGGCTATATTCCTAGGAGTTTGAGAGACTGAGGAAAGAGGATCTCTTAAGTCCAAGGATTTGAGCCCAATCTATCTCTGCAAAAAATTAAAATTAGCCAGATGTGGTGGCACAAGCCTGTAGTCCTAGTCACTTGGGACACTGAGGCTGGAGGAGTGCTTGAGGCAAGAAGTTAGAGGCTACAATGAACTATTACTGCATCTATCTCTGAAAAAATAACTAGTATAAATAAAATATTGGAAATCTAGTATATGTGAAATATTATTTATATGTAATCCAATGAAAAATTATTTCTATTGTCTTCAAAATTTAGCATGTATTTTATACTATTAGCACATTTCATTTTATATTAGCCATACTTCAAGTGCTAAGTATCTCTGTGACTGCTGTATTGAACGGTATAGCACTAGAAAATGATTCCCAGTGACCCAGATTCTGCTGTGACAATGATGGGATAGGGACATTATTAAAAAGACTCAGGCTTATGAATCTTTTTAATGTTTATGATATTTGTACTACTTTCAGAGATCTAAATTTTTATTTTTCTTTATATTCAGTTTGCTTTTTTTTTGTCAGCCCTGAATTAAATTAATTTAGAGTGGTCCCCATCCCTGAACTATTATCAGGCATATGGTTTCTGAGTTTCCTGCGCATAAAATAACTTATTTATAAGTTGTTCTAATTTAAGTCACAGAAAGATTATCTTGAATTTTTAAATGCTTATATTCTTCAAACCAAGATTCACGCAGATTTTTTTAAGAGAACTAAAATATTCTGTGAATGTATCACCCAGTATAATTTTGGGCACTTGAAAGCTACGATTTGCAGTGGCACTGCCAAAGTTCCACATAGAGAAATGCATATCTTTGCAGCTAAGGCCACATCAACTTACCCAGAGTATTTAACTCTGGTGTTATGTTCTAAAATAGATGCTAACCAAAGAGATCACTTCTAGAAGAGAGCACTTGGGAAGGTTGAGTGGACTTGAAATGTTAGCATGTGAGGAACTTTTTTTTTTTTTTTTAAGAGACAGAGTCTTACTTTGTTGCCCTCGGTAGAGGGCTGTGGCGTCATAGCTCACAGCAACCTCCAGCTCTTGAGCTTAGGCGATTCTCTTGCCTCAGCCTCCCAAGTTGCTGGAACTACAGGTACCCACCACAATGCCTGTCTAGTTGCAGTTTGGCCGGGGCCCAGTTCGAACCTGACACCCTTGGTATATGGGGTTGGCACCCTACTCACTGAGCCACAGGCGCTGCCGCATGTGAGGAACTATTAAGAGGACAGGAGAGGTTCACTTTTCCTGGCTAAGACTCACTCTAATAAAGTATTTTTAAATATCTGAAGGCTTGTCAAACAGAGAGGATTAGACGTATCCTGAATGGACCCAGAGAGAAAAAACACCAAAGGGTGAAGGTTATAAGGAAAGGAAGATCTCAGACTTAACATGGAGAAGACCTTGACCATGATAACAGGGGTCCAGATGAAAATGTACCAGTTAAAAAATATTACCTTTGTTCTCACTGTCACTGGTGCAGGAGGTGAGATGGCTATGTATCTGTGAAGTTATATGAATTTAGGCAACAAGTAGTTGTCATTTGTGTCATCTAATCCTGAGAGCTTTTCCTGGTATCATTTCTCTTTCCCCCACTTTTTTTCTTGAGACAGAGTCTCACTTTGTTACACCAGGCTGGAGTGCCATAGCCTAAGCCTTGCTCACAGTAACTGCAGACTCCTGGGTTCAAGCAATCCTCCTGCCTCAGCCTCCCAAGTAACTGGAACTACAGGCATCCCCCACAACACCTGGCTAATTTTTCTGTTTTTCTTTGAGGAGACAAGGTCTCCCCTTACTCAAACTGGTCTCTTCCCCGTTTCTTATAGCTTGAACAGCAGAGGCAGCAGTTGCTTACTGAACGTCAGAACTTCCACATGGAACAGCTAAAGTATGCTGAATTACGAGCCCGACAGCAAATGGAACAGCAGCAGCATGGCCAGAATCCTCAACAGTCACACCAGCACTCAGGAGGACAGGGTCTAGCCCCACTTGGAGCAGCAGGGCACCCCAGTATGATGCCTCATCAGCAGCCCCCTCCCTACCCTCTAATGCACCACCAGATGCCACCACCTCATCCACCCCAGCCAGGTAAGAGGAAAGCCCTGCTCATGGAAGAAGCTTGTGGTTGTCCCCTTAGCCCGGAGCATCAGAGGGGCCAACCACATAGGTGGTGATAAGGACTGTTGAGAATTTTTCCATTTTCATCTAGGTATTGTTGTCAAGTGAGATACGTTTTTTTTTTTGAGACAGAGCCTCAAGCTGTTGCCCTGGGTGGAATACCGTGGCATCACAGCTCACAGCAACCTCCAACTCCTGGGCTTAAGTAATTCTCTTGCCTCAGCCTCCCAAGTAGCTGGGACTACAGGCGCTCGCCACAATGCCCAGTTTTTTTTTGGTTATAATCATTATTCTTGTTTGGTAGGCCCAGGCCAGGTTCGAACCCACCAGCCCCAGTGTATGTGCCCATTGCCCTAGCTGCTGAGCTACAGGCGCCGAGCCCATCTTTCTTTTTTGTTGAAGATACTAAGATATTCTGCACTGTGGCTGTGCCTCATTGTACACTAAAGACGTGTAGCATCATGTCACATGTCCTTCTCCCCTCTTCTCTCCCACACATCTTCCATAAACCAGAGGATTGGTCTGGATATTTTATCAGGTTTGAGTTCACCTGTGAGGGCCAGCATTCTATTTAAAATGTCAGTTATTTTCTTTTTATGACATTAATTAAGATTGGTCGTCATCATCTCGGCACATGATGTAGCACAGTGGTTATTGTGCCAGCGACCTACATTGAGGGTGGTGGGTTTGATCCCGGCCCAGGCCAACTAAACAACAACAACTGCAATAAAAATAGCCAGGCATTGTGCCAGGCACCTGTAGTCCCAGCTACTCGGGAGGCTAAGGCAAGAGAATCACTTAAGCCAGAGTTTGAGGTTGCTGTGAGCTATGACGCCATGGCATTCTACCA